AGAATTGCCGTTGAGTAGTTTTCCATTTAAAAAATAAAGTATGACAGGAAGTCTGCGACGTCGCAAACCGAGTTATGTGATTGCCGACTTTCACCGTCGATATTCTATGTATTCTATTACTCCTTTACAGTTCTGCTCGCCGCGTCAGAAACCTTTGCCATGATGCTCTTAATTTTAGCCGTAGGTATTGTGGTTATTCGTGTCCTGTCCGCAATTTCTAATTTCACACGAGCTTAGGATGTATTTGCGCAAGAAACTAGTGTAGCAACCCCCCCCCCCCCCCCCCCCCCNGATTTTCGATTTGTCCATGTAGTTCCAGTTGCAATTTAAATGCAGCAAAGAGGAAATAAAGAAAAAAAAATACTTGGAATAATTATATGACCAGTCAAAAAAAGTTGGAGAATCCTGAACTGCTCCACCTCCATCAGATTCTTCTGCGCTCTGGACCATTCGCATAAAATGTACTTGGACTATCAGTATCAACTTCCCTTTCTCTTGTGCGCTATTTTTAGGAATTATCTTCATCAAATAAAATGATCACTTTGCCAGATAAATGGGTCATGTACAAGCCGAGCCTGGTTCTTAAGTACCTTCAAAACTTGGATAATTTTTTTTCCTAAATATTATTTAAGTACTGAGTTTGTACTTCAAGCTTGAAAATTAGATTTTCCTTTACTTTGACTTAAAAAGAAACAGGGGAAAAAAATCATTCTAAACTAGAACAGATGGTGAACTGGCATTTCTCATTTGGCATGGAGTGACCCAAAATGTAGTGAATTACAGCTCAAATTCATTGATACTCTATAAATTTGATGTTAAAGTGTTCGCTATTAATATCAAATTTTTTTCATTCTGCAAACCGAAACAGTACTGATCGTTCAAAGAGTACAGAGCCTAAGTACAGTATTTGCTGCAGCAACATTCAAGTCTCTTGTTTACTTTTAATCATGTACCTAGGTTGTCGTTTCTGTTTGATTAAATATTGGTTCTGATGTTTCAAAAGTTATACTTGACTCCTGCCATGGTGTTGTTTTGTATTCTAAGTTTGAAATTCTCATCTGTATAGGCTGAATAGCCTGGTCGTGTTTAAAAAAAATTAATAAATATTCGTTATATGACCTACAAAACTGCCAAACATTTTTTTCCGAACAAATCTTGCTAATAAGTAGATAGTAAATTTACCTATAGCAATTGCATGAACAAGCACAAAAATTATCAAACAACTTTGACAGGTGACATTGCATGTACCTTGACAATGTTGTACTTAACAAAACTAAAACATTGCTTGGCCTGGTCTGGTCCTTGTCCGTCCTATTAGAAATATTAGCACTTATTAGAGTACTCAAAACTATCAGCATAAAAATTAGCAATAATGGGAATCAGCACATTATTTGATACCTACCAGAAACATAAACAGCTGTATTGGATTTATTATATAAAGAGGGACAAATTAATAATATGAAGTCATTAGAGACGCAGGTGAACCCCTTCAATATCATGCTGACACTTGATCTTCAAATTTTCATGTTCAGAAAAAAATGAGCATTTTTGTAGGTCTTAACAACAAGTTGTTTTTCAAGCTGAGGATCTAGGGAGGCGGAATACTTAAAATCAAAATGGTCAATGATTCATAAAATGTAAACAAAAATAGATAAATATAGATATATTTTTTCATGAACTTTACAGTTGGTAGATGAAAGGAAAGAAATGAACAAAAGAACTGTAAGTACAAAAATTTTCGTGTGTTGAAATCGAACAAGTTCGTGATACAATGATCTTCTAAAAACAATTGATATGAAATTTTTAGAGCTAAGCTAGTAAGGTAGCTTTTTAAAAAAGAAACAGACATTTTTTTAATGTAAATTTTTTGTCTGTATAAAACTAAGTATCTACTCCTGAGTTGTAAAAATACCTAAGAAAAGACAAAATGACACGAACTGTTTCAGTTCATGATAAAAAAGGCCTGATGATTTTATTAATAAAACAAAAATGCACTATAAAATAAACCATAAAAAAACAAAAGAAAAACGCTTTGACTGAAGATTTTCTATAAGGTACTTGATGAAAGTAATAAAATCTTTCGCAGCACCTGCAAAGGAAACATATAACACTTCTATCTAAAAATGTTCTGCAATAATCTGGCTCTGTAAGATAGAAGAAAGTTTACCTCAACTCAAATATGATCTCAACTACATAGTAACCTGTGATGCAGTAATGGTTGGAATGTTGCGAGTTGGATAATTTTGGGGGAAAAAAGACTGACAGAAAAAAATTTGAAGAGAGGTTTTTGACTCTTTTACGATGAACAAAGCACCAGCCGTGGAGTAGAGACATGTTGGGAAAGATTCCAACACTTTAAAACAAAAGTGAAGGGAGATTTTAAAGAGGGAGATTCAGATACAGGGATACTATCAGACTGAATCGGTGAATAGAACTTTACAATTTCAGCTTTATTTCCAGTTATCAGCGTGTTTTTGTTTTCCCCTTTTTCTTTTTTTTGTTTTGTTGAGTGACGCCTACGGAAAAAAGAAAAAAGAACAACAAAAACTATGTTAGCTCTGATAGCATACCCGTGAATTCGTAAGAGCCTTGGAGTTGGTGATAGAAAATTGATGAACCAAAAGTTAAATAGCTGAGAAAATAAGTTTTCTAAAATATTTCCAATAACTTTCACCAAAACAAGAAGAAAAAAAAATAATTATGACTAAAGTACCTTCACTTACTTCCATACCTATTGCACTAGATATTACCCTTACTGACCGAAAAAGAGTTAAGAAAACAAAATGGCAACGTATATTTTTTATCTAATTGTCGTCAGCTGGCTTGAAAAAAACCATTAAACGTTAGCAAGTTGCGTTTATTGATAAGTACCTAAGTTAGGAAAATATTTTCCTAAAGAAAAAAGGAAAATGAGAAGGTGCTTAGTTGTACATCATAGATTTTGAATAACATGTTTGAGGTACACTAAAAGACTAGTTATAAAAGGTGTTTTCAATTTTAAAAAAATGTATTTGATTTAAAGACATTCTTTTTTATTTGATGATTTTTTTTTTCTTTCTTGAGTCAAAGAAATTTTCTTTAATTACCTACCTAGAATGAAATAAATATTTTTTTATTTCAAAGAATATGTTATTTGACGACAAATTAACATTACCTACTTTAGATTAAAAAGTCATTTGAATTGCAGAACATTTCATTCAGTTAGGTAAGAAAATGTCTTTACATCAAATACAATTTTTCTTTAATTGAAAATATTCATTTTCTGACCATTTTGTTCAGTGTAATTCTGATTTGACTGAAAAAACAATGCACAATTAAAAATCTTGGAGCTAAGTGTAGGTGAGCAGTTGATCAGAATATTAGCTAAATCTCAGGGGTGTGTACTGTGGTGATTCATGCATGCTGAATGCTTAGTGTCGCATTACCAAACTAGTAATAGGTAATTTCCTTAAAATAATGCTATTACGAAATCAATAATAATATGCTTAAATGATGAAGATATGCAACTGCACCATTAATGGTATCCCCATGTGATAGATCTGTACATTCACACAAGTTCTGTAAAGGTTCTCAAGAATGTTAACTCCTCATCTCAAAGGCCTTCCAAACATAGAATGCTTGGTTTTAAGTAATGTATACTTAAATGCAGCTTTAATTCTTGCTGATCAATTGCTTGACCTATCAAACTTGCACTTCAAGGTTTTTTAATAGAGATGCGGGATACAAAATTATCAACTTCTTCTTCATTTATCCAAACCCTCAAAGTTGGATCATTCCTTAAAATGTTACTGTTGAATACCAATTTCCCCCCATGTGACTGAGGCACAATGCACCTAATTTTCAAGTTACGACACTGATTGTCAATGTAATATTTCATCATTAAATCATGAATAAAGCTTACATAGCGGTTGTCCCAACTACTGAGTGCACTTTGAGATAATACTGAAGGTCCTGAATTCACCATTCTCAAGTAGTCTGGAGTGATAATAGGTACCACATAGTCCGTCTGCGAGAAACAACGCATTATGAATAGCTCAGGATTAGCACTGACAAATTTTTCTTGTTCGTCAAGAATTAAAACTCCCACTGGGAATGACTCGGAGCGGTTCTCGCGTAGTCGCTGTGCAATCCTGAGTGCAACTTCTTTGCCATCATCAGCAAACGTTAACATAACAGTTCTCATTTTCCTGCTGGGTTGTTTGATGTTGGTGTTGAGCAAATTACTATTAGACTGAGGTTTTGGAGCCGAACGTTGGCACAGCGCAACTGACTGAATCGATGGTACAATGATTGGCTGCGGAGACTTGACAACCACCGGGGTTGGCATTTCAGTAACACTTAGCTCTCGCAAAGTAATAGGTAGTTCTTGTTTGATCCGAGAGTAATTGTTGGGTCTGAGTAAAAATTCGCCACAGCGGGTGATTTCATTATTTTGAGTACATTCGTGGGAATTTTGGTTGTGTAATATAAAAACTGCATCCACCATTTTAGTGATGGAAATTTGGGCTTTGGTGACAGCATCAGGTCGTTGAATGTGGAGCAAGTTGTTCAAAACTTCACTTAAGCTGGCATTTTCACCTTGCGCAAAGGCCATCAAAACCAACTCGGTGCTGTCAATGTAACGATAATTTTCGATGCATCCTATCTGATGAAAACTGAGCCCTAAGTAACTAGCTAGATCTTTCCATCCATTGATTTGAGAGTTTGCTCCAGTTGAACTTATGGTGGAGCAAATATCCTGAAGAACCCTTTGGCCAGCTGGGTGAAACAAGTAGGAGGCATGAATCCTGACAGTTCTAGTGAGCAAAACATTGTATGATTCATCAGAAACACGAGTACTCAGATTATTCCTGAGGCTTTCTAACTGCCGATTAATGTTCTTCCTGGCAATCATTGTCAGGTTTCAAAAGTACAAGGATTTGAAGAAAAGTGGAATATTTACCAAGTTTTCCTTGTTCCAGGAGGAAAACAGGCAAAATTTAGCATTACAACCAAGCTAACCTTACTTTCACTTCACCACCACTAGTTGAACACGAGTCGTGTGACGGATAGTTTAGGGTTCATAATTAGTAGTTTAAAACAAAATGCTACAGCAAATACGAAATGTTTTACGAACACAAAATGCTAAAAGTGGAAAGCTGAGCAAGAAATGATCAACAGAAACGACCGAACAAACACAGATGACTGAGCGACCTTGATAAAATCATTATGGATAAAATTGACGCAAGATATGTAATTATGTACCTACAGGAAGGGTCAGCAACCTGATAGACCCATTGTGGCGTTGTGACCGCGTACCAGAAACCAACGGGGAAATATTTTTGATGAAGGAATAATTTTTTTCTCTTCGATATATTTTTCCTTATTTGATGCACATTCTTCTCCTCGATTTATATTTTTTTCTCCCATAAATATTTTTGATTACTGCAAACCTCTAAAACCCGGAGGTTGGCACTGCTGCCTCGCACCGTGTTGCTGAGTTGTGGCGCGCAGTTTGAATTATTAATTACGCGTGTAGATGCGCACTTCGCTTTTTCCGTCCTTTCATATGTAGCTAACCTGACGCTGCCATTGAGATGTTTCCATCCACAATAACTGCGGTATTCTTATTGAGATCAAAAGTATCTTATACAACAGTGCCTCAAAAATGCATCCTCAGATAATAGCAGCATACAACAAGTTTGACGAAATTCACTTGCACATTGGTATTGGCAAGATATCCGAAGAAGCCTCCAGCCAATTTTAGATTTTGAAATTTTCTGGGATGAAGCTCATTTTGCAGAGATTGGATGTGCAACTCAAATCCAAACTCAGTAAAATGATTGAAAATATCATGGAGAAAAAAGATCAACAAAATGCACATCAAAATGATTTTTCCACCGAATACTTACTCTGCAACGACTCGAACTCCTTGTGGAATAATTTAAAAGGCCGTCAAAGAATGCATATTTAGTCTATCATTCCTAAAAATGCCCGCTATTTCCACCTGCAATGAGTGATGCAATGGTGACGCAACGCTCCAATGTGCGAATAATTATCAATTACCTTTAATCTTTCATTAAAATTATTCGCTTTAAATTCCGTATACATGATGAATAATGGATAACATTGTTGAGATGTATCTATTACAAAGCCAGAGAACCATGAAATGCCCAGATACAGCAGAATAATTAATGTGGTTGTTGACGTTTTTGTTGAAAAGTCAACTGAATACTTTTCAAACAATGATGAGTTTGATGATAATTGCATACCAAAACCCAGCAACATGAACTTCATCCAACCTTGAGAAATTGCATAATGTAAAATGGTTGAAAACTTTCATCCCAACATGGATGTGTGAAAGGATCTCTTTGAAGCCCTTACGTGTGTTGTCAGCTGGAGATATATACCTGCATAATATCTCAGGAAGGACCTCAAAATTCTGGATGAAAAAATTACAATGGCAGCGTCTTTTTGGCAACAACAGTACTGGACAGAAAAAACGATGGATGTATCTGCACTGCAGGATCAAAAATTCAAAGTGCGCGCTCTAATTGAACCGTCGACTCAGCACCATGAAACGACAGCAGTGTCGACATCTGGGTTTAAAATTAGATCGGAAGTATCAAATAATACATTCAAAGGAAAAAAAAATTCATATCAGAGGAAAAATATTAATTACATTCAAGATACTTTTGCTTGACTTTCAATTTTTGATTAGAGGAAGTGTGTGGGTAGATAAGCTTTAAACTACTCCTGACTCATTGCTTTTTCAAAATTTGACTTCCCTCTACACTATTCAGTTCAATACTTTATCATTTCTTACTCAATTTTATTTTTATAGAGGAGAAGTATCACTGCTTTTCTCACAGTTGTTATGTAATGGAATGTTGATACATTATGATATCTCAAAGATTTACCTGGAAAATTATTTGCCATTACGATTTATTTCCTTTAAAAAACTTGAGTTGTGTACAGAAATTATTTAATTCTGAAATAGAGATGTATTCATTAAAGTAGGTTGGTATCTACATTAATAATGTAGAAGACCGAAGAGATCAAAGTTTAAGATATTGAACCTAAGCGTAAATCAGTGTTCATAGATGAAATCAACAGTCAGTTTTTTGATACATGTAAATACTAATGCACCTTAGAAAACAGGATGGTTGACTTATCCTATCATTTTCCCTCAAGGGAACAAAAAACAGAAATTAGAGGAACCTCTAAAAGGCAAATTATGAACACATCATTGGCTTATCACAGTCTACTTATTTCGTTTCTCATCAGGAAACATAAGAATCAATTTTCAACGTCCATCATGATATCCTCGTTGGCATACTTCAAGATGATCCATTCTGCACACTTGGCTTCAAATGTGGTTTCGGTGTTGCTTAACTCTCTCTCCTTCAAAATTGACTTTTCTTCAAAATTGGTACAACTGCTACTGAATTGCAGCTCAGATCCGGTGGGAATGGACATTGAATATTTACGACTTGACCGTTGTCCACCCTCATCCACAAAATCATTGTCGATTTCAGGTACTTTACTGTTTATCAGCATGAACTTCGGCTCACCTGCTACTCTGATAAAGTCAGGTATCCATTCAGAGGCGGAAATTGTATCTTGACATGCTTTCGACAGTGTTTCGGTTTCTGCTGAAGATTCAGGATTAACTGCAGTTTTAACACACTCTTTTAATCTTAGATGTTTTCTAAAAAGTTTCTTCATCTGAAACTGGGCTGAACAAATGTTACAAATGTATTTGTTCTGAGAATGACAGTCTTTTAGATGTCTATTAACAGAGTTTTTAAAAGTAAACTTACTGGGACAAATTGGGCATTCAAATCTCTTTTTATTGTTGTCGATCAGTCTTATTGATTTTTGTTTACATGAATTGCCTTCGATATGTGCCTGCAATATCCCTTTTTCCTTAAATTTTTTAGAACACTTAGCACACGTAAAGCGGTCTCCACTGAAGTGTGACTGCAAGTGTTTCTTCAGTCTCTTTTTCTCATTGAAATTAGCAAGACACACCATGCAAACAAACCGGTCTTCTTCAGTATGATGTGTTTGTAAATGTAGTTTGAGGGTGCTGTCTTGAAAAAATATTCGAGGGCATAGTTCACAGCTAAAACTTTTCGGTTCAGAATGCACACTTCTGAGATGGCTTAACAAATCAGCATTCTGAGTGAATCTAGAGATGCAAAGATGGCATGTGAAGGGACTTTCCTCAAGACCTTGGCACTGATTTTGGTAAGGAGCTGTTAATACCCTGACTGGGTCTCTTGGAGTAGAAAAAGAATGTTGTTCCTCAGGACTCTGAGACTGATTTTGACAAGGGGCTGTCAATAATCTAACTCGGTCACTAGGAGTGAAAGAAGTATCATTCAGGACTTTTTGAACTTCCAGGGGCTTCTCTTCTGGTTCATCGTGTGAATGCATTTGCAAGTGATCTTTCAGGCTTCTCTCACATTTCATTTTAGAGGGACAGAGCACACAAGAGAGGAGCTTTTCTTCAATATGCCCGGGTGCATGTCTTTGGTGATCAATCGCTTCATTTTTATTGTATAAAAGAAGATGCTCTTCAATTACTTTCTTACACTCAGATTGTTTTGGGCGATAAGGACAAGTGAGTAAGAGTTTTTTGGGAGAGCAGCTCCTTTCAGAATTGGATTCCTCTCCTTTGCAGTCGACTATGGCGTCCGTCTCCTGACTTAATCCATTCATTTTTTTATGCACGAGTGAATGGCAGTGCAGATCCTGGAAGGTTCTAAACTTGAGCGAACAATCTGGGCAACAATGCCGATTTTCATCTTGAGTGAGGCACACACTACCTTGCTCACCGTTTAAAGTTGGCTCTAACTTTGATTCAGTGATAGTAACAGGATCCTCCAGACTATCAGATTTTTTAATTTCTACTCTTCTTCCAAGGTTAACTCTAACTTCTTTCAGCAAAATTAACTGCTTAGATTCTGAGCTAAGGGAGGAGCTTTCAGTAGCACTAGCTTTATGTCTTTCCAAGTGTTTGTGAAAACATTTTAAATATCGAAATTTTAGAGGACAATCCGAACAGTGGTAAAACTTGTTCTCAGGATTCATTTTGAATCTGGTTTCCTCAGGGAAATTTTTCATTTCTGGCTCCTCAAGACCAGAATTAAAGTTATGTATGTGCTGTTTAGAATGTCTGTATAAGTCTTCCACTATGCTAAACTTAAGGGGGCATTCAATGCAGCAGTATGCCTTAATATTAAGGTTGATTTTTACATCTCTTGACAAGTCCACACACTCTTTCTTGAGAGTTTGCAAAGAAGAAAAGCTCAGTTGATGTTCTTGAGAGTCCTTTGAATACTGACACAGCTGTGAATGATCTAAAGAAGGTAACTTTTTCTTCTTGTAGGTGCATTCAGGCTGGAATGGTGAACTTTGTCCCACTGTATTAAAGGAATTGGAGTGTTCTCGTAAGTGTTGCTGCAAGTCTTTTAAAAATCGAAACTTCACTACGCACTCTTCACAAGCATACTGGTTACGATAGGACTGCTTTTCCAGCCTTCTCAAGCCTCTCTTGCGACTTGATTCGACCGTATCACTTGCAGGAGGAGAATCATTAACGCGATGTTCACCTTCAGTTGGAGACTTATTCTCAACACTCACTTCCTCCTTTTCAAGACTAAAAAATGTATCTTTAGTCAATGGTGAAAAGTGGCCTACATCAGTATCACCTCCAATTTCTTTTACCTTCATACATAAACCACTCTGTGGAGAAGTAATAGCTCCTAAAGAGCCTGGGGCAGTATCAGGACTAGATTTACTTTCCAAAATCACTTCCTTGAGAGACACATTTTCATCATGCACTGTGAAAATAGGTTTGCTCATCTTCGCTTCTTCTGTTTCATTATTCCTTGTGTCAACTGTAACATTGACTGTGTAGTCTGCGTGGTTGATTTTCTCCTGCCCAACATTGGATGATAATCTAGGAATATGTTTAATCAAACTTTGATCTTCAAAGCTTTCTTCAATTTCTATTACATCATATTTTCTTAACTCAGTATGCTTACCAGATACAAAACTGAAATTTTGTCTGTTGTTGATCCGTTCCAGAATGATTTTTGGAGTTTGAAGGTTTCCGAAGAATGAGAGATCAGGTTTTTTCTTAACAATGTTCTCAAGTATCACAGGTTTAGGATACAACTGACTAGCTTCCGAAATTCCCACTTTAGTCATTGCCATGGTAGGAACCTGTCAATCAAATTAAAAATGAAATTATGTTCTATAAATGAGCCATTCAATATCATTTCTCCTAGACTTTATTGGTAAGGTTATAATTCATTACTTACTCATCATTATTACATGGGTTGCAGTCCACACCAAATAAATGTATGCACTTTTAGACTGCGACAGGAGATCCATCATCTTGATTCTTGCATTTACTTGCTAAACAGACGTCAGACGATCTTCTGTCGCAGTCGAAAATTGTGTAAACTTATTTGACAAGGATTCTAAAATACGAATTTTCTGGGAGTGCCGTTCCAGAAAAATCTAGAGGGTGGGGGACAATAGTTGTAGAGATGAGGCAAAAGTTTACTGTAGGGGGAGGGCAAAATTTCAACAAATTTTGAAAAATGCCCGCTAGTTGCCAAAATTTTTCAAACCAGAAACTTTTAATTCGAGCCCCCTTCCACCCCAATTGATGCCTCTACAAATAATTAATAATCAAAGCAACATCATAATTTTCATCAAGGCATGCCCATGACAAACTTGCACACAAGCAACATTTTACATTCCCCGTTTTTAAAGCTTATAGCTGGAAAGGATACTTGAGATTTTTCATACCTTTGTTTTAAAGTATGACATTGTAGGTACTTAATGTAGATGCACAACGTTCTATACTGTCTGAATTATTACTATCAACGGCTACAGCTTCAAAATTGGAGTTAGTGACATATAACCAACCAGATATTTTCGGTCTTTGAAGTCTCATGATAACCTTTCATGTTTTTTTTTACATGAACAAGTTCAGGATCATCATTATTTTTGATTTATTAATTTGGTTCTCAATCATTGTGCTCTAGGTTGTTGATAACCCATGGCGACACAACCATTCCTATTACTGTGAAATTACCCTGGTAATTACGTACAATCACAAGAATGTAAATTTTTGGTCATGGTTTATATTTTTCATAGACAATCTAACATGCCTGTCATATGATTTTTGGTGATTTTTCTTTGACTTTTTAAAAAACATGCTTGGGAAAATTTACTTTCAAATGAGAAGAATGGATTCTTTGGAAAGAAAAAGAAATACTTACGCAGATGAATCTTGAAAAATCACAGTTAGGATGCAAGTTCAGCTAGGAGGATCGTTCAATTTTTTCCCCTCACTTGTTTAACTTCTCAGCTTTGCTCATAACGTGAAGACCATATTTCCGACACTCTGCAACCAAATTTTGACTTATTTACTCATTAAGTATCATCTTCCCGTCCGGCAACGGCCAAAAATAACATTGCCACAACGTTGCTGCAACGTTGCCGCAACATTATTTCTGGCAGTCACATTGTGACGACATTTCCGCATCTACTTCAGGCAACCACTTGCCGGGCGGGCTTGATTTTGGGCCATGATTACCTACTTACCAGGGGTGCAGAATCTTCCAAGCTTCCACATTTTCACGCGCCCGCCAGACGGCTTTCCACATTTATCTCATTAGTTTTCAACAAAATTTCCCACCTATCTTAAAACAGATGGCGTTTAGCCCTGTGTTTTCCTTTGATTTTCGACTTCAGGCCCCTTGAAGTGTTCCCCCCTCCACATTTTTGGGGCTTCTCCACATATTCACGCACCCAGGCAGGCGCATTTTCTGCACCCCTGCTACTTACTTGGTCAACAGTAAAGCATACGGAGAAAAGCGTTTATACATCATTCAGAGGGACACCTGCACCCTAAGAAAATGACAATTTTTCTTCCATTGATGTAGCATGGTTGATCAACTATTGACCATCTATGGGGTCATCTAAAGGGACACCTGCACCCTAAGAAAATGACAGTTTTTCTTCCATTGACGCAGCGTGGTTGATCGACCATTGACCATCTATTTTGCAGCATACGATTAATACCTACTGAAATTGTGTTTTTACGCAGTAATAATGATCAAGGAGAAGTATGATGATCATATACTCTATTGCTAATTGTTAAGCATTTTTGTATTTATGCTTACACATACAGATAAAATTGTATCTTTCACTGTTCATGTGGCAGTTGTGGTTCAGTAAGTATGTGACCCCTTCATGAATATTTAGTGACTGGAATTCGCAGCCCGCCTTCAGTCCCTGAAATTAAAGTACGTAACCTATCAAGCCAATAGTGGTTCTTGATATGTAATATTTAGTGACTTCTCACACAGGAGGTGGTGTAACTTGTTTGCGGAAAAAGCTGGAGTGCTCAGCTCTGTGGTAGTGGCAATCGAGATATTTACCAGAAAATATTCCTTTTTGTCTCTCCCTTTTAAGCACTAAGCACACATTGCCGCTCTCTTTGACAAGACTGCTGGTTACAGTAAAAATATAGAAATGATAGCAGTATACTAAAGCTGCTTACTGTGACAACATACCTATTCCCCTCTCTGTGGTGCGCTCAGGGCGACCACAGATCCCAACATGTTTATACTTAAATATTTACCTACAACTTTGAGAAAACTATGAAACATCAGTATTATGCATGTTTCAAGAAGTTCCGTACGTATCAGAAGTAAAAATGATTACTTACCGCCATCATTTAATGAGGATGGGAGGAGAATGAAGAGAGCATGATGTCCATCCGGTAACCTGGGTGAATCAATACTAGATGGTGCTTGATGGTACAAATCATGAAATATTTTAGGGAATGATTCCCTACTCAACAAATACTAGTCAAATTGGATTAATATCTAAGTGAAAATGCAAAAATTCCTCAGAGAATTCTACAAAAATGGCTCACCAGATTAGTTGCCGACTGCCGACAGATGTGACAGAACGAAACATGCGTAAAAATGTAAACAAAGATTATTCTAAATAAACAATAGAGAATATTGCCATTGTTGCCAAGTGTACTCGCCACACGTATTCAGTTATTTGTCAGTAATATACGCGGAGACTTGAGTGTCAACATGAAAGTGAATTTTAAAAGAAAACTTAAAGAGGAAATTAACCATTTAAACCAATGTTGGTGTTGCATCGTTCAATGAACTGATAGCGTCTTAGCTGTCCAGACAACTGATTCATAGGATCTGACAACAGTGCATAAAATCTAAGTTTGCTACATGCCCCATCCATGAGAGCAATGATCACTTCAGACTTTACCGTTCTACAACAAAATTCAGAACATCCTAAACGTCATCAGGCGCCATTGACATTTGGCTAAACCGCTCCTCTCAAACTGTATGGAAGTATAATGGTATTGGAATAAAAGTCTTATCCTTTAGTTTAGACGAAAATTTCTGAGAAAATACCTACCTCAAAAAAATTGTGCTGAGTTAAAGGACTTAAGTATCTTATTCAGTTCAGTCGAGGCGGTAGATCAAATATTTCATTACTGCGCTGTTTCATCTATCTGGTCACAACTGAGTTAAACCTCGATTTTAGAACAAGTTTTCCAAAAGTTCGTCAAATGTTTGACTCCGTCTAAGTCAGGGCTCATGCACACTCCAAGCAACATATCTGATCGCACATGGAATGTTATGAATTCCTGGTCTTCCAATTAATGGTGATAGTCGCAAAGTACTTGCATATCTATTGCACTGTTTCAAAACCTCCGCTGCTGTTTTATTTGTAAAACAAAAACCAATGAACTTTATTGATCGAAATTTTTGCAGAATGATTATTCTGTAAAGGAAGAAGAGATATCAGAAAAAAACATGAGATGTAGAGTTTGTTAATTTTTCTTTGAGAATATAAAATGAGGCAAGGAAACTGCAGCCTTCCAAATGAAGATAGACGTTGTGCACCTTTTACCATTTGGTTAGTTGTACTTTGAACAATTAATACACCAGCGGAGACTTATGACGTAGCAGTCTGAGACATGCTTTTTTGACTTCTGCCATTGATGAAAATGTTGAAGGAAGCAGGTACTTGATCCATTTAGACAAGTACAAGGAAAAACCCAAGGGTGATGCATAACTGAAATTCTGGAGCATTTTGATACATGATGCGATAATTCTAGGCTTTGTTTAAATGCCTTTTTTATAATAATTCTGATGATGCTTCTGACTGTTACCTCTGACATAATTTCAAGATGTTTGCTTTAGGCTGCAATTTTTATAAAATATAGGTAGGTATGGACTAATGAAACCCACTCTTTGTTGTAGCTAGAACCACAAGAAGAACCCACTTGACATTATATAATTTTCAAAACATAGGCTCACAGTTCAAACACTACACTTTCAATGAATTTTAAAGCTGATGTTGAGGAACTGCAAAATTGAATTTGCAGCCAATTTTATCTCAAAAGTTTACGTGTCAAAAAATGAAAAACGCTTTAATGATTCTATCAGTCTACTTGTATCTTACTCTATTCAATAATTTTTCATTTCACATATTTATTTATTTTTTCTTCTTCTCCCTTCATTTGCTATTTTTGATATCATACATTTGTTTCATTCCTACCGAATGTAAATACATATATTTTTTTTCTACTTGCATGATTGATTTCAAAAACACCCCACAATCTTAATACTTTTGGAAACCACAAATGAGATTTGAGGTGAGGGATATTGGGCTGCCCAACAGTCACCGGGAGCAACTCCCTAGTTCTATAAAACAGAAAAGGTAAGGGATGAATTCAACAATGACAATAATAATGTATAAATTTATTGAAGAAGACAATGAACAATACTCAATTATAGTTACATTTGACTGAGTCATTTAAAGTTAACCACCTGCTTTCAAAACTGGACATTAAAAATTCTTGTGTGATTAACATCTTAGAGACTCATTCATCATGCAATCTCCCAAAATGTTCTTCACTATAAATTAAAAGCTGGCAGCAGACACAAAATTCAATTGACTAATAAAAATCTTAACAAATTTAATAAATATGTACAAAAGAAAACAATAAAATACTCTGATTGATGACGGTGAAAAATGCAATGAAAGTGTGTGGATTATGAGGGTTAACAAGCTTTGACAGGTCTTTTCTGTGTTGCGTTGATCTTATCACCAAGACTTAAGGCCATACCCTGAAAAAATCAAACAGAAACGATATGAAAATAATTTTTAGTGGTTACTGAGATTGTCAATTAGAAAGTTTGTGCAACAAAATACAAATATTCTTTAACTTTGTCTATGCAAAGTCAGATTCATGGGCTAGACACCTAGGTGGTCTTGTGATGACATGTCAGGCTCATGAGAGCGACAAGCCTTAACTGACAGTGAACTGACACCTGCTCGCTGATAGCAAATTGACCATGACAGCATGCAAAGGTCTAAAAATTGTTTTGAACCTAGCTTCGGAATCTTTTAATCGATCACCAAAGTTTGGTTTTTTTGCATGTTTTACAGGTACCACAGGAAGAAATAGACAAAACATGTTGGTACCAGAACCTGTTCAAAAACATTTGTTTCGCTGTACCAGTTAAGAGATCAGTCTAAAAAGGAGCTACAGTATGTATTAAAAACTCTTTATGCCAGGGGTGCAGAAAGTTCTTAGCCTTTCCCAATGTATAATTTGCTGTTTTGCTACAATTGCGCTTCTACATAAAACAGTGCGCTTAACAGCTTCCTTGCCCAAAAGTAGTGCGCTTGAAAGATGCTTGCAGATGGTAAAATGCATTTGTATTACTAGATCAAACATGTACTCGCAGGAGCAAAAACATATGGTGGAAGGTTGCGGGTCGAAAATTTTCATCCATATGCTGGACAAGCAGCAGTTTAGTAAAAAACGTGAATTTTCATGTTAGGGATTTAAAAGGTTAATAAATGAAGTATGTACAACCAAAAATTGGTCTTGTATTAGACGCCTCTTAACATACTGAAACAGCATTGCAATAAATTTACCTGACTTTTTGCACGGATTCGAATGTGACCAGTGACAGGTGCATCTGGTTTGTTGAAGGGTTTCTCTATGCTGAGATTTGCTAGGGCGTCTTCTCCGAAGATCGAGCGGGCATACATGTTGGCTGCCATGAAACCGCACTGCCCTGACAATGCTTTCTCCGGGGTTAGGCATTTCATATTAGTGCTCTTTATAAGGTGGTGCAAATACTCGTGCAGATCTGTCAGGTTAGTATTGACTGAGAGCTGAAGAAAAATGTAAAATAAATTAAATATTTTAGCGACAGTAGATCCAAAGAAAAATTATGAAAACAGCCTTCTAGAATTAATTAACAAGTGAGCAATTGACAGATGACTTTTCCAAAAATTTTCTTGGAGGTTTACAGATTTCTCCTACTCGTTTTATGCTCCTAAAAAAACTCAATTCCACTCAAATCATTTTCCTGACTTGACAATTTCTTATAACCAGAAGTACCTCCAAGATAAGTGCCCAAAATAATATTGTGTTCATGTTTTACTTAAGGTTTATGTGTATCTTTCTGAGACCGATAGCAATCTTATCTGCTCCATACTTAATGAAAAGCAGTTAGTTGAGAACACTGGCAACTTTGATTTGTTCTATTAGTTTGAAGTTTAACGAAGATGAATGTCTACAGAACAAATAATCTGCGCTACAGCAAATGATAGATGAGACTTTAACAATAAATTTTTAGAGAATATCTTGAGAGATTTTTGTGCAAAAATACATCAAAGAATTAGATCTTAAATCAAACAAAAGGAGGAGAAAAATCAAATTAGAAATATATTTAGCTACGGAAGACTGAAAAAATTAACCAACAAAGGAGCTGGTTCTTTTCCTGCGCCAAGAAACCTTAAGGGGCATTAGCAGTTTTAACAATGGGCCTGTTGCAAACTTTTGCTAGAGCAAAAATAAGAGTTGTTTCTTCTAGATAATGCCTCAAAAATCACGATGAGCGCATCGGCAAAGTCTGAAATGCACTCATAACTTCACAGTCTGCGTAAGAAATTTGCGGTTTTTTGAGCTTCCCGCTTCAAAAGCGATACTACGGCACAGGTGAACATTTTGTAAAAGGAGTCGTTCCATCATCGGCAATACTCATCATGGCCGACGCCAATCCGCCAAAACACGTGTGATGGGACGAGATAATACCTGAACTGGATTAGACCAGATAACAATCGGCGTGTTTTAACGTTCATGTTATCCACGCCCAAATTGATTGACCTTGAACTCTCCTCGAATTACGCGCGGAACTGCGCGCAAGCGTCGGCCATGATGAATATCGCCGACGATGGAGCGACTCCTCTAACAAAATGTTCACTTGTGCCGTAGTATCGTTTTTGAAGCGGGAAGCTTAAAAAAACGCAAATTTCTTACGCAGATTGTGAAGTTATGAGTGCATTTCAGACTTTGCCGATGCGCTCATCGTGATTTTTGAGGCATTATCTATAAGAGACAACTCTTATTTTTGCTCTAGCAAAAGTTTGCAACAGGCCCATTCCTTCTAAATGAATTTGAAAAAAGCTTTCCTCCTTATAATTTCCATTTAAAGCACCCAAAAGTCTTCTAATCTTTTAACATGATGATGACAGAGGTGCTCTTTGACAAAAAATAATTGCATGATTATTAGCAACTGACAACAGACACTCTTCAAATTTACTTCCAACTCATTTCTGGATGGGAATCCAAAATCACTTTACTATTCGAACTTGAGCTGGAGAACTGTGATTGAGTTGGACGATTGAAACTTGCATAAAAATTAGGGTATTAGTACATAGTTTTATATTCTCGTGTTAAATGCTGGCATTTTTCGTTGGCCCAAAAATATGAATTCTATTAATCACCAGCAGCTGACATTATTCTTTAACAAGACTCTACATGACTTTCACTTTTAAGTATTCGGTTCCTGGTTAGCATGAATCCAATTAATTTTGACTTACTTTATTCTCCCACTCAAATTCTGCCCACATCACTCGGAACTCGATATCATTACAGGAGGCTGGAACAATGTAGTCCATGATATCTATGTGAATATCGTTCAGCACAACCACGTTTCTATCTGAGGAGGCACCGCTGACATCATATACTGAAAAAAAAGCAAGACGTCAAAAAAGACAGAAAAAACGATAATGATAACTCACTTAAAAATCAACAATTATAAATATACAAATTATTGTCAAGATTTCTTTCAATTTTCTAATTTACAGCTATCCCTTCATATTTTTTTGGAAACAAAACAAATTCTTCTCCTAGTTCCTCATGAAGCACTCATGAGCCTTGACAAAAAATTATGACTTTGCTTTGGAATGCATTAACTACTATTACTAACATGCCGCTCTTACTTACAGTGCATTCAAGAGCTCTGCGACACCCAACCTTCACTGATAGCGATCCTGCCAGAGCTCCTCTAGCAAATAGCATCTCCTCATTTCCTGCCTTATTCCATGAATCCAAGATTTGGCAAGGCGTCCTCTACGTTTTCTGCCACGGGGGACCCAATACAGAACCTTTGTAGGCAACCCGTCATCTGGCATCCTTTGCACATGCCCATACCAGACGAGTTGTTTCGTGAAAATATCATGCACTGCGTTGTTTTCGACGCCCATAATTTCACGTAAACTTTTCATTCTGAACAAGATCCTTGACACTACGGCCGATTTATGCCAGAAGTCCATCTTGGTTGCCTTAAGATTATCCTGGGACTGTTTCTTCAACTGCCATACCTTGCTGCCATAGGACATAGTGTATTCCTGTTTTGTTATCTATTATTTTTTCGACATTTTTAGATTTAAAAGCATTTGGCTGTAAATATTTACATACCTATATTTCCAAAAATAATGCCATTTTCAGTGGAGGCTACTTTCACATTTGCCTTGATATTGCAAAAATCATGAGGGGCCAAGACTACAGGCTGTGGTTTCTCAACCAACTTCAAGTCGCCCAAAGTTGCAAGCTCTAAGGTACAGTTCTGTAGAGTATCCGCTGCAATTACAGAAAACAAGTATATATTAAATTATAGCGAGAAGAGATAAGCCAAATGTAACAAGCAGAGGTGATAATCACGATTTTCAGGTTCTAAACTTATTGAAAAACTCAACAGTTTGTCTGACGTTCTGTTAAGCCTGCAATTGGACCGCATTCCCAATTTTTGCATTGAAAGCAAAAAGCGTTGCAAGAATCAGTTCAGGATTTCGAGTATCCTTCAATGAGCTAGGTCGAATCTAAATCAATCAGGACACAAACTTTCCTTCCTTGAGAGTGGTTGAAGGTAAGTTATGGAACCAAGAGAGTTCCGATTGGCAGGCGAATTGCTGCAGAGCACCCAATCATTTTAAGTATGTTTATGAGTCCGATCAAAAAATGTCAGTTGGAAAAAGAACTAGAAAAAACTAGAATGTGACCTAAACATTGTAAGTGAGAGCAATATTTTGGTGCAATAAGTTATTCACACTAACAGCAGATGGATTGCCTTCTACTGAAGGCAACTTGCCTGTCACTTGCCATTGTTGTAGTCCAACTAACAACACAGAATTGAACTGCGGTGCAGTAAATACATTAATGATTCATGAATGCAAAAGAGAAAATCAGGATTTGAATGTAATCTACAATACCACTTACAGGTCTGATTGACGATCAAGACGTCCAAAACAATATCATATTGATTGACGTGAACATAAGCTTCCGAGTACACAGGGTCTGAGAATCCTGTCAGCTGGGTCACCTTATTGAGTTTGCTTGCAGATAGAGGCGAATGTGTATCTTGCGAAGACCCACTAAGGTTGCCAGCTACAGCTTGCGTTAGGCTCAACTCAAAAACATTTTCAGTGGCTCCAAATTCCCCACCGCGTGTGGTAGACAATTGCATAAAGTTGATGGGGTCATCGGTTTGGACTTGGTTTCCTGGTTTCTCTTTGGCCTTGTCAAATGAATGAACAAAGAAGTCAGAGTTAATTTTACAGAAATTAAAGTAAAAACGTCTCATGGGCTTTTGGAAAATTCATAGAATTTCCCTAGTTTGCTGCAAACAAGTGGAATTGGATAAGTGACCTACTGTTAGTGTACTGCCTTCGCCCTAAGCTTTTGGGAGCCTCTTTAGTTGAAAAGCTCGATTTTTAGGAGCCTAATAAACTTTTGGCATAAGCTGCACTGTTTTGATCTAGGTCTACATCCCGTTAGCAAACGCTCTCGTTCTCTGCCTGCGCCGCCTTGCTGCAAGAAAGCAAGTGTGTTGAGAGCCTTACTGCTGCTCTGAATAGCCATTAGAAAAAATCAACAGAATGCGTCACCTTTTTTGACGTCTTGATGGCCCAGCCTCCCCCTCCCCCGATTTTGGGCACCAAAGTTTGATTTTTAGGTGTATTTGGCACATGGTGCCTGGGGAAGGGAAACCACTGCCTACTGTGATTGTCACTATTACTCATCAGTTTTCCAATACATAACTTTTGCAATAAATCTCATCTCTCCTTGAAAGTAATGACGAAAAATAGCAGTTTTTTAAAAACACATTTTAGAGATCTTGTGAGAATCTTCACGACATGAAATGGTATCTGAACTCAAGAATCTACTCCCTATCAGGCTTGGTTCATTTAGTAGCCTCTTTGTTTTCCAACTTCTTTTTACTAGAAAATCTATCTTGGTACTGCATGGATACTTTCGGTTCTATCATCATTGCAGAAAGTGATGGAGATATTACTCACTGTTATGAAGTGGTAGCTGAAAGGTAGTTGTCAAGTTTGCGAGTCCCACTTAGTGTTAAAGACAGAGAGAAAGAGACGTGCCTAAGCCTGCGAAGGCTCTTGATACATTGAAATACTTATTAGAGGTTAAGATTTGTTAGAATTGTATCATACCTTTTGCGATGAAGCTTCTTCCTCTGCTTTGGCGACAAGCATGGATGCTAAGGCTTGCCGGCAGTTTTTGGTGTAAATTCCAACGATAGGTGGGGCTTTTTCTGACAGCACTCGGAGACTCACCAAGAGCCTGTCAGCATCATCATTAGTAATCGCTTTGGTGGTCAAGCCTACGAAATGATGGAGAATGATTTAATTCAATGTTTCAATCCATAAATAGAATGACGATTGGACTGCATTAAACAGAAAGGAACCAAGCCACGTCAACTATCGCCAAATTTAATCGGGCGATTTAATTTTTTACATGAAAACAGCTGTGTAAATTTCAGTGAATTTTTTCCAATTTCAAAAATAGCTGATGTGGCTTGGTTCCTTTCTGTTAAACGCGGTCCAATTGACAGTTACATAACTTTACAGAAAGATAAGATCTTTAGGTTACTGAACCCACCAAATATGAGTGCATTTTGTACTCTTGGGCATTTATTCTACTAAAATGTTTCATTAATATGTTCTTCTGAAGCTGGAAAAATACTACAACCCAAATTTTGTACACATTTTCACCGCGGTTTGCGTCTTCCCCAATTCTTAACTTTCTCCATACCAGTACAGGATTAGTGAAAGACACAGCTTCCCAATCTGCTTCATCAATTTTAAAAAGTTACACCCAAAATTTTGTATCCAGATAGCCAGCCTGTCGCGCATTAAATAGTAAGTTTGTAAATTGCTGAGTACAGTAACACCATCTATAATCAAGGCTTAGCTACTAATAGTTTAATTGAAGTAAAGGATTGGAAACCTACCCGACTTTCCAAGATGCAAAATTGAAGCAATGATAAGCATAGCTTCTGACAAAAATTTATTCTGTTTCACTTTATCTTGTACCAGCTCAATATATCTCAATGCTAGCTTGGTCAGAGTTGTTCCGAGAGATGCTCCGATGAAAAAGTTTCCATCCATGAAGTATTGGCGAAGTGGTGGGCGTTCTTCTTTTTTTGTATTTCTATAACAGACAAAAAATTAACTGTGATTGAAACAGTGCTTCTGAGGACTTATTCTGTATTACTAATATTTATTTTTACATAGAACATGAAAACTTATGACTGCCAAATAGAAGGTAATTTGCATACAACCAGAGGTGCAAAATTGTGCACAGATGTGTGACAATAGCTGAAGCAAGTTAACAGCTTACCTGGTGAAGGTGAAAATATTTATTTGAATGAGGTAAGATATTGATGCTGTATTTAAAATACAAATTTTACTGGAAATAAGACACTTTTCTCTGAATTAAGTTTGTGGTTTTTCTGATGCGACAGTTTAGACATAGAGATGAAATATACAGTTTTGCACATTTAATTCATGATTCAATTAAGATACCTTTCAAATTTATTGACGCACTTTTTATATTCATTTCATGTGAGCTCAAGATCGATATTTTGATGTTAAAGCATAATATTGTAAATGAAGATACAATGCAAAACTTACGTTGTTGTGTTAAAAGCAGACTGAGTTGCATAAGTGCCATCAGAGGTGACAAGTTTAGGGGTGGAGGTGCCACTGCTAGTAATTTTGGAATGTTCGACTTCTTCACCTTTTTCACCTGCTGCTCTGCGAGTTTCATCTTCTACGATTGGAACCTGAAACACATTTTCTACTGTTTAAGAAAAGCAAAGCTATGATAAATAATATGCTTCCATTTAAGATTTTTTGGGTATTCTATGTGAATGGAGGGGGGACCTTTTTTAAAAAGAAAATACTGAGGAGGTGAAAATGCGAATAATGAAGAAAAGAGATACAAGGTGGAGAAATGGTGCTGGGTCCACACCATTTCGCGGGGAAACATTTTTGAAAAGAGATACTTACTTCACCTAATGCCTTGTTGATTTGAGCCATTACTGATTGAATATCATCTGGGCTGTTCGTGTACTCTCCAAGGACCCATAATGAGGCTCGGTGAACTCTTTCGGACTTGATGGTTGAAAATGTGTCAAGGAGACGCTGGAATCAAAAAAATACCAAATTTTGTACTGAAGGCCAAGTTGACAATTTTTTTCATATATGAGCGCTCTACCTTGGTTGCCCCTTTTTAACTAAAAAAAAAAATTGGGGAGCTTTTGCAGACTACCACTCATCAGCTTGCAAACCATAAGTTGAGAACTGTTGGTTTTTGCAGAAGTAGAGATGAAAGCACTACTTTCTTTAGCAGAACAATGTAAGCTGATACTCGGTGAAAGTGGATGTTATGTTAAACCACGTACTTGCTACTTAATATTTTCAAAATTTTTAACAAATTTATCACTGACATAAAACTTATTTAACTTACCTCAATTATGAGGGGTCTCAGATTGTCAAATTTATGAATAGCCTCACGAATAAAAACTAAAACATCTGTGGCAGCTAATTCATTTGTGTCAGAAAGGAACTCGACCAAGACAGGAATGACTGTTGCAGCAACATCCGGGAACTAAAAACAATAGAAGTGATAATTACAAGCTAAAATTTGAATATCCAAATTTTAGAGGTGAAAAAATGAGTAATACAATTGATAAAAAAGAAAAACATTGCCCAAATAAAATTAAAAATCATAATGTTAACCCTCTTTGGCATAGCGTTTCGTAACAACGTATTTTTGGGGGTTTTTAAAGATTAAAACTTTCCTCTGTAGCATCATTTTGAAAATTTTCATTAATATTCTTTTTTTGAATAACTAATTCCTACAAATTTTAAATTTTGAAAACAAATTGGTACTCCGTATCTTTTATGCAAGCTACAAGATAGATTAGTGTCCCCTAGAATTTGACATCCAAAATTAATTCATGCTATTAAGGGTTAAAGAAGACCTGTATTCAATAGTTAAGATTTTGATGATTTTTTTCTATACAGTAGTTTTGTTAGTTTGTTAAATTATTTTTGTATTTAAACGTTTAAATGTAGTATTATTTGAAACAGAAGTTTTAAATTGGAACACAAAGACAGTTCCAGACGTTAAAAATTAAGCTACACATACCTTTATGCAACATGTATGGAGGGTCCGCACAAGTAGCTGTCGATATTTTCCCGTGTCCTCATGTTCAATAACATTATGTGTTTTGGCAACCTCCTTTTTTAAGACAAGCACCATCTCTTCAATGTTTCTTGATGATACTAAATCCATTGCTGATAAAAACAAGAAAGACAATCATATTTACTGAAATTAACATTACATCCAAATTTGTTTCAGTTTCTAGATAATAATTTACTTCTTAATTTAACAGTTTACATGGGCAAAACACACAATAGTAAAACATAATTGGACTTCATTTTGCAATAAGGAGCTACAACTTCTAGCTTACCTGTAAAAGCACCTATCTACACAAGGAAAAATATGGCTTAAATGTTGTTTCTAAAATGAGCCAGAATTGTAAGTTTCTCATTGCAAAATGAAGCCCAATTACAAAAAGGGAGAAAATATATCTTAAAGCTATAAGTTACTCTGAAAGTTTGATCTCTGGACTTGGACCACCCAAGGCTAAAAACTTGGAATGATATGAATGAGTTTCCAATAATTTTTTTTTTTTTACTAAAGGGTTAATTTGCATGTTGGGAAAAGCTCTAGTAGGTCAAGCAGCATGTAGGTGTAATTGCGTGTAAGAACAAAGTCATGTAGATCAACAGTTTATAGATTGAATGTTATGGGCCAAATGTTTGAAGGTAAAAAACTACATGACCCTGCCCAAAGGCCTTTGCTAAAGCTTTCTGCCATTCAGTTTTTCATTTGCTGCAGGGCTTGGACGTGAAAATACTCCAAACTCATTTTTTTTACGACTTAATTTGAATTAAGTAAAATCTACTTATCAAATAGATAGGTTCCTCAGGCTTTAAACTTACCCAAATTCAGTGTCTTTTTGCGTACTTCAAGGTCAGGGCTGGCCAAAACGCGCAAGATGTCCATGACAAGATCTTGCAGAACACGCTCATGAGCAGGGTGCTCCTTCAAGACAATCAACCGGTCAAGTACAATCAGTTTTACATTATTGTCACTTTCTTTGACAATTAACTCTATGTAGCATGATGCTGCAGCCTAGAAGCAGATCAGAATTATCTTAGAAAAAATATGATGAAGGACAGAGGAATATAGAAGAATATAAAAAATACTAGCTGTGGTCCTGCACAACTGATTTTTACTTTGACTGAGAAAAAAATACTTAGGTAAAAATATGCGACTTGATTTGAATTCGAAACTTTTTCAAAATAAGTATTTGATTCAATTCAACATAAAAAAACCATATCCCCATAGCTCCATTTTTTAAAGTAAAAATTTAATATTTTTAACATGAGAGACAACATGAATGCTGTTCAAGTAAGCAAGCTAAGCATTTGACAGGCTAACGATGACTGTCAATACTTGGACTACTCTCCTTCACAAAAATCAACGAAAAAATAAATCTGTTGTTTCTCTTTTGACTGTGCAAGTATGTTCCTCCAAACTCCTGAGCATCTGCAGGCTCCGCTCATTTTTGCCATGGCAACTGACTTGACCAGTCGAATCTGCAGCTCTACTCTCTAAGAATATTTTTACTCTCGCAGCTGAATCTTTTTTTTTTAATTTTTCTACCCTCATAACTCACTATTTTTTCATTGACGTTCATAGTAACAGATATACTGCTCTTGAGGAAAAACAAATAAAATAAAACACAAACTTTGATTGCTGTTGGCGCGCTCGAGAGAGTTACTAATGTTCCAGCAGCTTCATAGCGTACAGCAGGACTGGTTGAATTCAGAAGATTGTAAATGCATCGTATAAAACGAGACCTTTCGCCAGGATTTGCATGACAAACCTGCAGAGGGAAAAAATATGCAATTAGGACAAAATGGATAATTCATCATTTACATGATGTAAAATGAAAAGCATGCATCAGATTAGGTAGAAAAGACAGTTTAGACAGGTATTTGAAAAATAATTTTTGAGAACTGAGTGATGGGCATAATGGGTCCAATGAAAATGAGGGAAGAATGTTTCAATAGGCCTTGTCATTAATCTATTACACATCATACAAAAATCACCTCTAATTATTCTAACATATTGGCAATGGTGTCAAGTGCATAGACCTAACAAGCTAATTAAATTAATTTATCTTTTAGTCTACAAGGTATGATATTATTCCACAAAAAGTCTCAGAAACATTTTCTCTACCTAGTTGTGGTTCGAACTGGGTTTTGACTTTGGTTCAAAAATGAGTAGGAATTTTATTTGGGTGCTCTGTCAGATGCTGGTACCAGGGAGAATGTTCATCTTACATTTATTTTATCCGAAAAGTGGCTCTTTCATCAACATTTAAATTATTTTCATTATTTCGCAAACAAGCATAACATTGCAAGGCTGTACATACATGAGCATTTAATTTTGTTGGCACTCTTACTGTAAAATCTCTTGTTATCTATCGAATAAATAATTTCTCTTGACAAAAAAAAAAAAAAAATTGTTGGCACTAACTTACTTTGTAGATTAATTCAACGATGACAAGTTGAAGAATATCACCAAAAGAGGAAACTTGATCAAGTCTAGATGCCAGAAAAGTAAGAGCACGTTCCTGATCAGCATGGAGAAGCATGAGAAAAGCATTGCGTTTGCATGACATGTCTTGCTCACTTTCAAGAAAATTAGCGATCAACTCTGGAGCATCCGGAATCAAAAACTCAAAATTCCTGGAAAGGAGAAAGATAACAAAGAGGAAAAATCACTCAACCTGTAAATCATATAATACATGCATAATAATCTTAAATTCTGATCTGATGATGCAAAGAACCTTTTTTCTGTCATTTCCATGGTACTAACCATTTCAATTCAAAGACCCCCCCCTCCCCTCCAGAGAAAAATTACCGCAGTTCCTAACATGAAAGAAAGAAACCTTAAAACTTAACCTTTTAACCTATATGCATTTCAATTAATAATGGAAAAATCTCTACTCAATATGCGCTGATGTTGGTAAGTCAGAAACAAATTTGTTCATAAGCTATAGTACTAATACTGTCATTTTTTTAAAATGGTCCCTTCACAGATTTTTTTAACTCCTTGCGTTTTTTTTCAAATTTTGTGAGTTTCACCTTTTAGTCACTCATTCTTCTCTCCAAATTACTTAGGATAAGCTTCCTCACCTCAAAAGTGATAAGGAATTTTTTAAAATAAAAATTACAGTTGTGAAAAAGTCAAATTAGTACTCCATCACTCATTGTCAGCTCAACTTTCTGAAAAATTAAATTTTCACCGCCACTTCACTTCGAAAAAGAAGTAAAGTTTACTTTTAAAAATCGACCAAGAGCACGAAATAAAGAGATACAGCCATAGATAATCTCACTTTGAACTTATATCAATACAAGATACAACAGAACATAAGGAATGCTGCAAAATGATGATAAACTCACCGGTAAATTGTAAAAATGGCTAAAACTGCATTGCGACGAACATAAGAGTGCCTATGCTCAAGGCACGTTCTGATTGCTGGCATAAGAGGTTCCAGTAATTCTGGCTCCTTCATCTTACACAAAAATCGTAGCGTTGAGCCTCTGACAAATTCATTTGGATGTTGTAAATCCTGCAAAATGTTTAGAGAATACGTCACGGATGAATGTCAAGATATTCAATTTTAAACAGGACGATTAATGATTATTTTCCTCATTTTTGTAAGTATTCAACAACTTATAAAATTCATGCTTCAGAAAATATTGAAATTATTCAATAACTATAAAAAGTCATATGGAAATTTAAAAAAAATAATTTGCCACTCCCGAAATTTTAATGGTCAGCAACTGCCAATGTGGCACAATTTAAGTGGCCAAGCTCAAGCGGGTCTGATTTGTCAAAATTATACTATTAAGCAATTTTGGTAGTTGCGGAGACAGTTTTAGAGAAAACATCTGTGATGCGTAATACCGTTTTAGAAAAAGCTATGAATAAATTGGAAAAGGACAGGTGAAACAAAATTGCGAAGTAAATCATGTAACCATGAATAATACCTCATTTTGAATGAGTTAACTCTTTTCATCTATTTCATTCTAAGATACCACTGCACAACGATAAGGAAACTGCAGAAACATGCACCATGAATGTAGTAACTTCAAAATCTTTGCTCCTGCTATATTTTTTTGAAGGGGAAAAATGATTGAAATTTTTATAAAATATTCGTCACTCACAGAAAAAATCACAGAAATTTCAAGGAAATAATTTTGAGAAGTTTTCTATTAAATACATAGACAAGTAAAGTATAGTAGGTAGTCTTTGATGTTTCAAATCCTGAAACGCTTTTCTGTGGTCTCACTGTCAACAACCTGCGGATGAAAAGAGTTGACTCATTTGAGGTAGCATTTAAAAATGTAACTAAAGAGAAAAATACAAACCTTACGATATGCGTCGCAAACCAATATCATCTCTTGCAACAATTTGCCATCAGGCAATGTTTTTGGAACTATCTCCCAAAAAATGTGGAGTAACTTCTTCATTGTATGGTCCTCAAGAGGAAGAACAAAGCGGATAATAACCATCAGAAGTCCTGGGATTCTTTCTCCATTTGCTATCATGTAGATAACTTTCTTCAGGGCTTCGATCTTTGTTCGCAAGTCTCCCTTTTCTAGAGAAAAGAACATATTCATTCAAAATATCAAATTTAAATAAAAATAAGGAATTTAATTTAGGGTAAATAATGCAAATTTTAAAGCTCAGTTCAGATGGTAAAACATTTCATTCATCAAAAGCGGACAAAAAGTTATTTTATTTCACAATTTTATGGGCAAAATTATATACTGAAAATAGATACCAAAATAGCTACCATTCAAAGAGATAGGAGAAAGAAAAAAAAAAAAGCCAAGTTAGAATATGGAAAATCAAACACGAAAAAATTTGATTCATTTACAGCTGCTGTATGATATTGTCATTGAGTATATCCGCTGGCTTCTAATTTGCAAAGATACAGCTTCTGCTTATAAAGTTGGAAAATTTTGAAAAATACTTCGCATTCAATTTTGACTTCTTATTGAAAATAAGATTTTTACCCAAAAAGAATACTCTTTCATTTCTCCCAATTTTGCCAATTTTTTGGTTGAGAATAATGTTTTTAGTTCGTATACAGGGGCTATCATCTCTTTTTGGGCAAAAAATTCAAAATCTACCAGGATTTTTGACTTTATCAATGCAGTATATCGTTGACTGGTTTGACCATGCCAGAAACCAGGACGAATCTCCTTCAGAGAAAAATAAACACAGGAAAAACAGAATTTCAGGTAAGTTAAAAAAATAAACCCACAGGCCAAAATATAATGTAACTGCAAAATTAAAGGATATTCAGAACATTGGGATAAGTAAGGAACTCAGCTCTATAAGAGGGTAAATTTTTCTACAGTATTTCTCATCACTTTCTATTTCACACAGCCCGCATTGACTTAAAAATAGTATTAAAACTTTTCCCTTTGCTTTGTAACATTCGAGTTTATGATGTAAACAAACCCTTCAATGAAATAAAAAAACAGCGATTGGAAGCATCATTGTATACTAACCGAGATCTGACTTTAGTTGCATTTCATTGGGAAACTCTGAGTCTGATGGAAGACTGATCAAGGTGTAGCACGGCTGTTCAACGCTATTTGCCATGATTGGTTTATTCACTGCAAGGAAATGAACAAATTAATTAATATTAAATTCCAGAAAAAAACAAGGCAAAAGGTAAAGCAAAGAATCATTTACCTAAACATTTTCAAGTCCATAAGTATACACCAGAAAAGGATATTGACAGTGTAAGTCGGCAATCACATAACTCGTTTGCCGTGTCTGAAAATCTCCGCCTCTATGTTATTTTTTTACGGCAGAACAAATTGACATCATTCCTTAAAATTTACGCAGAATTTTCTTTGCAAAGAGAAGAAAAATTACGGCAGTTTTTAAGAATTGCCGTTGAGTAGTTTTCCGATGAAAAAATAAAGTATGATAGGAAGCCTGTGATGTTGTGAACCGAGTTAAGTGATTGCTGACTTACACCGTCGATATAGGTGGCTCTTTAACACTTGAAAAACTCATCAACCTTTTTGATGGCTCAACAAGCAACTGAGAACCATCACTGTCTCGAGTTAAAATAATTGAAATTGAGATTGTAGATTTCTATCCAATCGGGTGATCATTTCATCATTGGTTGAAACCTGATAGCTACATCCAGAAGGACCCTCAGTCTCCTCTTCTCATTCACTAGTTTTACTGATCAAACATAGAGAAAAAAAAGGAGGGGTTTGCATTTCGGGCATCTTGGATTTTTTTGATGACGTAGGTCAGTGCGGGCGAGTTATATCATTGATTTTCATGTAGTTTGCCGAAAAAAATCGTTCTATAAAAAGTGTTTGAAATCATATCATTAATTGATTTCGGCAAAAAAATTGGATGTTATGGTCTGTTTTTCATACTTCGAATTCCGGATTTTGCTGGTGTACCTGGGCCGACCTACGTTATGGAGTAAACGATCCTCAAGATGCAAACACCTCCTTTTTTTCTCTGTGCTAATCAACATCTGTTAGGGAGCAAGACTACACCTAATTCTAGACTAATCTGCTTTGTAGCAACTACAGGTGGTATCCTACTCCTCCCTTGACTTGTCAACACCATCCGTCAATCAACAGACAACATTAGAAAAGCTGTTAGGTGCTGTTTTTTAGCTGATCCTTCAAAATATTCAGCTGTCTTTGGACTAGTTTTTCTTGCATTTAGCTTCATAAAGGATGGAACGGTGAGAGATTGGCTTCACAGGGCAGGTGCCTAATTGGTATCAACCCTCAACTTGACTGATTGCTACGTTGCTCTCTCGAGAGGAAAAATCTCTTGAGCGAGTGAAATTACGCTCCTGTTTTGGCAGAGAAAATGCCAAAACTGAGAGCGATAGGATGAAAAAGAACATCTAAATAGAGATTAAATCTGAAAATTCATACCACGTCAAATAGCATATAAACAAAACACCACTATAACCTCAAAATGCTGGAACCGGGCTGGGCATGAAAAACTCACTGAAACGCCCAAGAGTGGAATTTAAACCATTGCACTGCCGAAAAATTATAACGAGTAATTAAAAAGGGATCACTAGAAATGCGTCAAAAACTTGATAAGACCATTCAAATTTCGAAATACCGCAAGAATTCGTGAGCCGACTACGGACTTGGTTCCACGTCAGTCGGAGATATGTTTATGTTACGTTGGCTAAAGTGGTAATGTTTCTCCTCTGAAAACCCTGAAATTGTTATTGAATGAAGATTCTTTCATGAATATCAGTTTTATCCTCCAAGATTTAACAAAATTGCGTATGAAAGGTTTTAAATAATAAATAAACATTCAAAAAATTCTTAAAAGAGTAAAATATAGGTTCCTTAATTTTTCTTTATGTTTTTCTGTTGTCGGCATCCTGTCAAGCTGCAAAATTATGAATTTCCGCGCGAATTTTCAAAAACTCGGAACTCGTATCAGAGTTGCGACAGAGCACAGGGGAGAATTTTATGAGCCGCTAGCCGCCCTGACGCACGACGCACGACGCATGACGCACGACCTGCCTTTATTCATCTAGCGTTGAGAGTTCACTTATTACTTCACATGACCAGTGTGTAATTTTAAAATTCGTAAATTAAAAGAAATTAAAAAAAAAAAAAAAAAAAAAAAAAAAAAAAAAAAAAAAAAAATTACGCGATACGAGTTTCAACTCCAGGAAGCTCTCCCTGCAAGAAATCGTTCACCGGTCCGTCCACGGGCGGGGGCGCTGCGACGTGCTGCCAGCGCGAAACGCGCACTGACGCCTACAAACCTAAAGGGCTACTTCACGCATTGCGCAATGCTTGAAGTATCCCTTTAGGTTTGTAGGCGTCAGTGTGCATTTCGAGCTAGCAGCGGCAGTGCGCCGCGCCGCAGCGTGCCATAAACTTGCCCACAATTAATAGGTCAGGGTATTAAAATTTAGGCAATTTGACATCAAATTCGAAATTAGCGACTCATCAGTTAAGTACGGAACTTTCATGATCTTTCAGTCACTATGCGACTTATTTCTTCCTATTCTTGAGTCCATGGTGCACCGCGGGCGGCGGCACTCATGAAATTCTCCCCTATGTGCTCAATCGTCACAGTTGCGCATTTCATTATTCACGCATACCTACCTTAAAGAAAATTACATGTACTTTGTGGGTAAACTTATGGCTCTCATTGCTAAATTAATCGCTAAAATGCATGATCTTGATGTAGGGGTTTATGACTCAGCGGAATTTTGAATTTTAGAAATATACTGCAAAATAATTAATCCTCTATGTGCAGTTGGCTGATCGTTTTATTGTTTGCCCGAGTCCCATTCTCTTTTCTCTGTAACAATTCATAGACCCAGGCACGGATTGCAATTACATGGTAAGATTATTGCTATTAAGCCGGCGTGTTGTGTATGTTGACTATCCACTAATTGAAGGGGATTTCCTCATAGAAATTCACTGCAACAAAATTGAAATATAAGCAATTGTTTTACATCGAAAATTGTCTACCTCTGTCGCGCGTGGAACACATTTCATTGATCGTTTAAAATTGGCATTCATTGACCAAATGATATAAAAATATTGCAACTTCATCGTCAGAAAATTGCAATTCTATTGCAAAAATGCTCTGGGCGCTTCGTGGTCCAGCCAATGTAGAGTAAGATTTCCGTTGCATTGTGTCACTAGGGGAGTCCTTTTCAGATAACTTTCTCTTTTTCGCTGTATGCACGCGATACGGACTTCCGTACCCCGTGCGTACAACGGAGTAGGACAATTTTTCTGAAACGGGCTCTAAAAAAATGTCGCTCTAAAAAGTTTGCGTTACCTACTATATTCGCTCTTTATAAAAAGAGTGAATATGGAGATGAAAAAATCGGAGCGTGTTTATGAAAAACTCATATAATTTCAAGTACACATATTCGGTAAGTTACACGAGAAACAAAAATATAAATGTATCTAATTATTGTTACAGGTTTCACAACCGTTTTGACGATTCAACGATGAGATGCTAACAACAGGGTATGTACATGAAGTTGCAGTGAAAGTTGGTAATTGGATCACATTGAAATAAAATTGCCGTAATTCATGTAAACGAAAAAAGATCATTAGAGCGAATTAATTTATCATAGCTCCCGTGAATGAATGGGAGTGCTTGAAAGTAAGTTGGTTGAATGTGCTCGTTTACGTATATAAAACGTAAAACAATTCTAGCACGAAGCAATGTAATTATGACAATGTAATTATGAAAATCACCCAACTTTCCTGATCACACTAACATAACACATTACACATTATAAATTTTCCTTTTACTACGTATGTTCATTTTTTGCCACAACTTGTTCTTAAGATCGACCAGACCGATTTTTATGATTTTTACAGCTGTCAAGTGAAGATTATAGTTAGTTCGTTAATATTATAGATGAGCTCGCTCTATTCAGATGTACTCGCGTGGCCAACGGAGAAAGGCAGGGCCTTACAGGGCGCAATGCCCCCTTTGAAAGGTCGGTCCGCATATAGCGGCCAGGTGACGTATCCCCTAGTTTATAATAATCGCAGACCTAAACACATACCTACTTTCTTGTCGACATCATAGATTTCTTGTGTTAAGGTATTCCACCGTTTCTACGGTTGTTAAAAGTGATATTTTACAACAGGTGATGTAACAGGTAACATTTGGCAACAATTATTACATCTATGAGACAATTGTAATGTTTAAATACAATTCTTTATGTTTGTAGTCGTCCACAGGAAAAGGACTTTAGTTAAAAGAGGGAAAAGAGACTGAAACTAGAATTGAATTGTACATAGGATAGTTCTAGAAAAAAATTGCTATCCAAGAATATCAAACCAAACCAAAGTTCTAGCAGTTTAAAGTCCCCTGTTCAAAAACATATATGTAGTATCGAGGAAAAGCTATTCAAAATTTCAATTTTCATTGCCCAGAAAATGAATTGCTCGATTGTCATTTAACCGAACTCGACAAAAATTGTTCAATTGCCTCTATGGACTAGGATCCCTGCTCTCATGAGCGATCACATTTTATTGATCTTTTACAAAACTGTTACACTTACTTTGTTTTCAATAAATTTAATTTAAGTTAAATACTAATCAATTGATTGATTAATCGATGAATCAATTGATGTTTACATTAACTTATAGAGCAACCTGCAAATTGTAAACATATGTCGTCAAATACATTTTCTTTATTAACTCTGAAGTCGCTGATCACATGAAGGTCTCAAAATAATGTACCTATGTATGAAATAAAAAAAAATAGAATAAATAAGCAATACAAAAACATTTAGCTGTCATGTGATGTACCTATTGGATGATAGTCAATTCAGGAACAGCGTTATCATTTCTCAGAAACTGGCGTTTTCTCTCACCCTTTTTATACTCCGACAATTTTTCTCTTTTTCTGATGTGAATAAAATGTATTTAAATGCTGTTTCATAGGAATGTTAGTGTGCACAGCCTTAACTGTGATCCATAATTTTATGGTCTGCTGAAAGTCGTTTTTGAAAAATTTGAAGTTCATCCTCTGCAAATATTTTAAGTAGACTCCAAAAAAAGTGATGGGAATCAGTGCTGAAATTATTGTTGTTTAGCAGAAGATTTGGCAACATTTATTTTGACATTCTCGATGAGGGCTTGGTGCGCCGCTTAAACAATTGGAAAAATGATTTTTTCCGAGTCCTCGTCAACAATTTCTTCATTCTCGGAATTCAAGTAGTTCTTCTCTGTGACGCTGGACGTCTGGGCCCAGCTAAACGACAGCTGCTTCTTCATGCCTTTCGTAAGAGGGGGAACGTAGCTTCTTGGTAGAAGGAATGTGGAAACGTTGAACAAATCCAAAAACACTTTATAACGATCGCTGAAAGAATAGCAAACGCAGAAAAAAGAAGAAAAAATTAGGTAGATGTAAGAATAAATTTATGTAGGAACCTAAATATTTTTAAAGCAAAATTGTTTGCACCTTGAAAAATATTTTTATAACACTTATTTTTATGGCTTTATTTTATTTTATTTTTATCACTTTATTTTATTGGTTTTAATGGCTTGATGTTCAATCCATTTTTTCATATTAAGAGAATTAGAGCCTCTAGTGAATGAGCAATAGCGTTTGGTGACTATAAAGTTATGAGAAGCAACATGGATACGAAGGGGGCATGGAGGTTGTTTCTCCTTCAATTGCAGGGGTAGGCCAAAAGATATGCCCCTCGCAGCCCTAGCTATGTGTTTTGGATTAACTACAGATCTCGTCGTGCAGTGAATAAATGATGTTAAATTTCACACAACGATTTCAATGCTAATTTTGTTTTTAGTATTAAGTTTCTGCCATGATGGGTAAGATACTTGTACTCTAAAAATAAGAAATCCCCTCAAAGCTAGTGAGTCCTACTACATCGTGAATATCATCCAAAAAAGTAGCTTACCTCAGAGTCGAGCGAAGGTAATGGTATCCTGAGGATCCTCCAGTTCCTAAATTTTGCGAGCCTATCATTCTTTGGACCATTATGACGTGATTATCTGTGGAAAGAGAGGTTTGAAAATGATAAAAACTGATTCCTATGTAAATAAAAACGGTGTTTTAAAAAGTAAATGAGCACTTAGAAAGTTATCTTATTATACCAATACATTACTTCACTTCTTCTGTTTTTTCGAACTTCCGTCAACGAAAATTTCATCGTCTTACATCCTTTCTAAAGGTTGAAGCAAAGCCCCACCAGTTAGTTTTGCATGGCACGGACGCTCGGCGAATTTCATTTTAACGTCTTGAAACAACTATTTCGAGCTCTATGGACGTCCGTGTTGCATACGCACGGAAATGAAGGCAAATTGATTCTCATGCACTCACCACTTCACCAGATACGCGGCGCGGCAGCAGCGGGTTGCAAGGCGAGAATCCAAAATGTCGGAGGCCATCAATACTTCGTATATATTACTAACACATCCACGAACAGTTGCACACATGCGCTGTGTGCTTTAGTTTTAATATAGCGATGTGTGCAGCATTATTTGTGAAAAAACATTATTCTCGCCTGAGAGATATTAACGTAGTAAACGAAGAATGGAAGGCACTCAATCATTTCGAATACTCTCGTAATACAGCTCATCACCGCGCCGCGCCGCAGATGAAGCGGTGAGTGCCCGATGAGTCAAAACGCCTTCACTCCCATGCGTATGCAACACGGACATCCGTAAAGCTCGAATAGTTGCATCCAGGCGTTATGATAATATTCGCTGATGTTCGTCGCATGCGAAACTAACCGAGGGCGCTTTGCTTTTCTCTCACACGTCAACTTAATCGAGGCAGTGGATGCGAAAAGCGCACTTCTCGATTGCAGTGTCTCAGAATCTCAATTGCTAATTAATCCCTCGGACTTCTCCAAGAGAATAATTAACAATTGAGATTGAATATAATGTGTGCTTCTTCCAGAATTCTTTCCATAGGAAATTGTAGAATCATAAGGAATATTTAGTTAAATTTTTAGTGAAATGGATGCATTCACTTTCCTCACAATGAATGAAATATTAGAGGAGACTCTGAAACACTGCAATCGAGAAGTGCCCTTTTTGCATCCAGTGCCTCAATTTCAGCGTGCCTATCGTGCCGATGAAGTAAACTATTAGTGATTCTTTTAAATTTTACTGATCATTTGTCTTGTGCGGGTCTCCAAACGTATCATTGATGATTGATTCTATCGCGACATTATTTACGTTTCTCAGTTCGATTACGGCTCATCATTTCGGGTGGATTTTGGGTATGAGTGGAACTTACAACGCCATTTGGTGATGAGGGAGTCTATGTCCATGAGGAGGGAGAGGATTTGGAAGGGCTGGCTGAAACGGGGCTCGTCGCGGTAGAAATTAATCATGATGGCGCCCTGGAGCGCCCCGTGGGAGAAGCGCCTCTCGCCGCGCCCGACCATGGCGTGGTGGATCTTCGGGTCGAACACAGAGTCGAAGATGAGCTTCCGCTTTTCGTAGTCCGCCATTCGCTGCTTGCTCTCTGCTTCCGAGCTGCATTCCTGAAATTACCCGACGTCAAATTAGGTGCGTTTATCATCAAGAACGCAATGAAAATGGAGATGGTGCATGTGTGAGGAATTTGCAATTGGACCACTGATTCTTATGTAAAAGTTCGCGAGAAACACGATGGTGCCACTGGTTTCCTCTAAAATCAACTCCCAAGCTCAAAAGAAGCGCTCTAGGTTGAGGTTGTAATGGAGGGTATATCCCACGCTATCCTGAGAGCCCACCTCTACATCATGACGAACTCTCCATGCAAAGATAGGGAGCAAATACATCAGCAGGGATGCCGTGTTTCGAGATTTAAAGTCCCCAAATAAAGTGGCAGCCCTGTCAATGTATTTGCTCCCTATCTTTGCATGGAGAGTTTGTCTTGACGTAGAGATGGACTCTCAGGATAGCGTGGGATATCCCCTCCGTTTTGGCTTCATCGTGTTTCTCGCAAACTTTTACATAAGAATCAGTAGTCAAATTGCGAATTCCTCACACCTGCAACATCTCCAGTATTGTCCAAAGCCTACTTATTATTTAAGACAAAAAATTTAATGTAAAGACTATGTGGTGAATCAGTGCTTGAATCGGCTCGTGGAAAAAACTGATTGTGTCCATTTTCCCTCCTACTCAGAAGACTGGAGAACTGGACAAGCCTTTAGGGAAATTCTTACAATCAATTGCATCAAAAGCAGCGGTGTGGCGTGCTTTGCGATAAATCGATTGATCTGCTATTTAAACCTATGGGAACGGATCGATAAACAGGGTGTTCGTAACGAAAACCTTGATAATCGATTCTTTACCATAGCTTCAAATAGGGAAATATCGATAATCGATCATTCATGCTCCGCCACACTGATCAAGAGCTCTTAATGAAATTAAAAGTGCAAGATTCGACCTCGAAATCAGGGGCTTGGAAGACAAGTGGGACGCACCAAACACGCAATTTTGCCTGGAGCAGTGCAATGCTGAGAGTGATGAGAACGAGGAATTGAGATGAAAAGGAGAAGCCCTCGGCACAATGGTCGGCATGTAACACATATCAGCGCCTACAAGACTGCATGAATACTTCACGCATTGCGTCAAACACAGTGCGGTCAGCGCGGCGCGCGGCAGTAGAAGTTAATATTATGAAACCACATTTATGTTTGTTCTTTCCTAATTTTTTCGTTCATCTTTTCGTTCATCTCTTATGAAAGGAAGGCCTCGTCCACACAGAGATTGGTTTACGGAGCTTAACTTTCGCGCAAAGTTCTGTGAAGTTTTGCTAGCAGTGTTGACAGGGCTTTCGCAAAAAATGTGTCCAACACGAATAAACGCGTCCTATTCACCTCTCCCCCTCTCCCTCCGGCACGCTCATTTGATTGTTTTTATTGATGTTTCAAAAAGCATGAGAAGGAGGAGGCAAAATACAGGCGGCCCGCATGGGCGGCAAGTAGGTAAATCCAGCCCTGGAGATGACTAAAACTTTTTATGCTCCTCGTCCCCCCCCCCAAATAATTTCATACTGTCAACTCACCAATGCGGAATCCCTTAACGCGTTCAGCATTTTATTGACAGCGTTCTCATACTTGGACCAGAAACCGAAGCCATCAGCGTTGAGACCGGGCGTCCGCTCCAACCATTTTTGAACTAAATGCATTAGATTGGGCTCCGTCTCGGAAGCTTTGATCCGATCCAGGGCTTCCTCGTCGCCGCCGAAAACTTGAGCGTAGTGTTGGTTGTAGCGAACCCTGTGTTCCTGTTGGGAAAACAAGGAAGAAAGAAAGAAAAAAATGCGGATATCTCAAGAGCAAAGAATATCGGAGCAAGACAAAGATCAATGCAATGAATCTTTCGTGAGGGTCGTTTTCAGCGAATGGGCCAAAAGTTTTGTCACCAATTTTTATTTTTTATCAAATTTATTTATTTCTTCTTCCTATAGGGTCCACTAACAGGATTGGCTTAAGCATTTCCTGAAAGGAAAAACCTCGTGGTGTTCAATGCTGACTCGTGCAGCGTCGCACAGTGGACCGAGTCAATTAGAAAGGTCGGACATGAAATTTTTGACTAAAGCCGCAAATTTTCATGTTTATTTCGGTACATTTCAAATTTCAAGGGGTTCTATTAGAAGAAAATTTCACGAGGAAAACCAATGGGATCACTTTCAGAACCTGAAAATTTTGTATAAACGGAGTTAAGCTTTTAAAGTGTCCAAATTTTGTCCGACCTCTCGTATAGATTCGATCCACTGTTTGTCGGCAAAATGATGGTCAAAATATGTCCATCTTTTGGCCTCATATAGCTGAAAATTACCCATAAGTTGATACTGAAAGTGGCTTGTAATTTTAAAATCCACTAACGTACCTGCTTTAGGCCAAGTTTATTTTCTAGGAGTCTAAACTGAAGACTTTGAAAGCCTGAGGCTGGACATAGGTAATCTCGAAAGTCCATAAAATCTAAGGGTGTCATCGTTTCTAAAATCATGACTTGGTCTACGAGCAGCTGAAACAGATACAGTGGTGGTAGGTTAGGCGCAGTATTAGGGCTAAGAAGATAAATCAAAAATCAATGAATTAGCTAATTTTTTCTTTTGTATGATTTTAATTTCTTTAATTATTCTCTTCTTTCTCTAAAAATTCCAACTATTTTAAGAATTGTAGTAGTTTTCCGTTTAAAAAATAAATAATGACAGGAAGTCTGCGACGCCACAAACCTAGATTACCTATATTGAGAGAGTATGGCCACTGGGCCCCATGGAGAGGCTTAGGACCCAAAAATGGCGGTGCTTTGTTTTGGTTTTTGTGGATGGGAGGGGGGTCATTGCCAACTTTTGACGGTTATCACCAACCGCACTTGCTGCCAACCTTACTACATCTAAGATAATTTTTCTCGAAAATTGCACACGATTAGCCTTAAAAATATGTAAAGAAGTCGCAATAGTGCATTTGGGTAAATTTCTCGTTACAATAAGCAAAGAAAACTACATTTTGAGTCATTTTGCATTACATTAATTTATGGCGTCCGCCATTTTTGGGCCCTAAGGGCTCCATCCAGCCTAAGATGGCTGAGCCAATCAGAGGTGGTAACCCCAGTGGCCATACTCTCTCAATATAGGTACTCTACACAAACCGAGTTATGTGATTGCCGACTTACACCGTCGATACGGTCAGTTTTGGAACTTTTTGAGGAGATAAGTGGGTCATGATTTGCGCTCACTCATTCCCCACTATCCACCCCTGACTACCCCTGACACGTATGAAGCGCTGGCGTCGCGCCATGAAACATCGAATCTGAAAGTCAATGTCTGGGAAAAGGTGGTTTATGTAACCCGCATTGCTGTGACCGACGACGGCTGTCGGCGCGGCATTACGTAAACACAGGAGTGCGAGTTGCGAGGATACCGTAAGCGCTGAAACTAGATACGTATCCAGGTCGACGCTTCATTGTCCCAGTAAGAAATGAAACTCGGTTGAGAAGTCACAGTGCTGCCACCTGCCGGACCAACCCCCTGTCATGGCGAAAAATTCACCATCATGACCAACAGATGTGCTATACATGAGCCCCATCGTCGTGGAGAGGGAATTTCCAAATAATGCCTCAAATTACCACGCACACATTTCGTCGTTCCCCAACAAAAGAATGTAACTAAATCTCAATATGGCCAAATTTCTCTTTGCAAAATTCATTTTTAACAGGAGAATCTTGGGCATTTCTAGCTGAAAATTTTACTGCAAATCTCATACATGTACCAAAATCAGAACAATTTTCGACAAAACTAGGATCGACTCTTTTTCGTAAAAAAGAAAAAAAAAAAAAGAAAAAAAAAATAAATTGATTGAGTCGATTTTGCAATCTTAGAATGAAGTTGCGTCCCTTCCTCCGGGAAGCGACAATTTGAGCCGATTTGTTTTGCGTAGGGCGTAGGTGCAGGAGGACGGTTCAAAATTTCCGCAGACAGTTTAGAACAAAACGCTGCCGAGAATATCTTCATGCACAATTTACTGACTTTTGTTGGTCACAGCAAAGAAATTCGTCTTTCAAAACGCGACAATTGACTTACGCGTCATTTGCTTAAAACAATTTATTGGCATGTCAGAGTTTTCATGACGTTTCATGGTGCTCATCTTCAAGCTCTGAGTCAGGTAAAAGCCCTCCCTGTCCCCTCTGACAATATCTCCCAGTTCCACTTAGACAGTAAGTCCTGATGACGAGGCCAGTGCGCCTTCATATTCTTGCGTATGCAACTCGGACATCCATTAAGCCGGAATAGTTGCATCCCGACACCGGAAATAAATCGGAGCCCCACAACCCAACAACCGTTGGGCTGACCATTAAACACAAATTAGTTACCTACATGCGAAAAGAGCGGTGATACACTAGTTTCACTAGTTTCGGTATTTTAAACATGTAAACGTTAAAATATCCTTTTGCTGGATCAGCATGCCTCGGCCAAATCTACGTCTTTTATTACGGCGAAAATGTAGGTATCAGTTGGCTCAGATGTTGGGCTTAGCTGTGGAGGTTTTTGTGCAAGTGAGTTTTTAAGTTTCTCCAATTAGTTTTAGTTTTTCAAAACTTTTTGAGCTTTATAGTTTTCAAAATATTGATTAAGTTTTTGAAGGTCTCTAACATTTTTTTTCAAATTGTAGTATAGATATGAAAGTAGATAATGTCAAAGTATACTTTAGATTTTGACTAAAGTATAGTAAGACCTGTCACAAAACTATGGGTGAATAACTCGGAAAGCACGAGACTGTGCAACTTGATTCATTGTCCTTCATATTTTCCGCTTTTAACGCGAATGTTTCAGACGTAAAGTTTATTTTTGGTGCGTTGGCAACACTGGTGAGGGTAAGGCTTTCCTAACCGCCCACACAAATCGAGAGATAACTCAGCTGGCACTAATCAGGCGAACTTTCCGCCAACGCCACATAGTCCAGGCAATATAGGATTTTTGAGGGAAAGTTTAGTCGAACTAGCAATTATGGGCTAACTTTATGTTTTTTGGGTCGTAGAATCCGAATTTCAACTTGCCTGACAGATCCGACCCCTCCCCCGGCCGCCATTTTGAAAAAACGCCTAAAATTTACGGTTTTTCCCCATTTTTCGCTCATAACTTTTTTTCTGTTCAAAATATCGGAAATCTCGTCACTTCTGTGGAAAGACGATTAAATTTGCAAGAGATTGGTGTATACATATGTACACTTAACTTGAAAATAGTGAGAATGGGAGCGCGGCGAAGGCAGCGGGAGATATCGATTTTGCGCCATTAGATACGAGGGTCATCCAAAAAGTAAGGTTCCCTACCTTGTATCTTCCGAGCGAAAAGAGATAAATCAAATCGGTAAAAAAGCACATATTAGGCATGCTCTAAGCTTTAAAACAAGCTCAAGTTTTTGAAAATCGGTCAAAGAATCTGCGAGTAAACTTAATTTTACTGAGACAACCTCCTGTCGCCGCGTGCCCACCTCCGGGGTCAGGATGCATGGAGAATCGATTATTGAAGACTCGGGTTATCGCCTCTATACATCACATCAACAAAGAATTATAAAGTTTTCATTGAGTAGGCCTTATCTTACTTTTTGACGTAGTCCACACATCTTTTTTGACATTTCTGGTATTATTACAGCAGCTTCTTGATGCCTTCCGCGTAGAAGCTTTCGCCTTGACTCCAAAACCAGTCATTGACAGCGATCTGCACTTCCAGATCAGTTGCTTTGCGTAGGGAAATTTTCCCCCAATCCTTCAAACTCTCTTACTTTAGCTTCATGTGACTTTCAATCGTTCCCGAGCGGAAAAACTTCCACGATGGAAGCGATTTTCAACCGATTCAGAGGTACAGATAGCTGTCAATGACTGGTTTCAGAGTCAGGGCGAAACCTTCTATACGCGGAGGGCATCAAGAAGCTGCTGTAATGATACCAGAAATGTCAAAAAAGATGTGGAGACTACGTCAAAAAGTAAGGTAAGGCCTACTCAATAAAAACTTTAAAATTCCTTGTTGATGTGATGTATAGAGGCGATAACCCGAGTCTTCAATAATCGACTCTCCGCGCATCCTGACCCCGGAGGTGGGCACGCGGCGACAGGAGGTTGTCTCTGTAAAATTAAGTTTACTCGCGAATCCTTTGACCGATTTTCAAAAACTTGAGCTTGTTTTAAATCTTAGAGTATGCCTGGTATGTGCTCTTTTACCGATTTGATTTATCTTGTTTTGCTCGGAAGATACAAGGTGGGGAACCTTACTTTTTGGATGGGTACTTAACACCCTTTATCCCTGCGACCCTTTACGTGTAAGTCATAGTATACTAGGGGTTATTTCAATGTATTATTTTATTAATCCCATTACATGAATGACTGGTTACGGATGTAGACAAAATCAAAAATATTTTCAAAATGTGGACATGTTTGATAAGTAAGTGAGTTAGTCCAATCGT